TGGTTGATTCTATGATTCTGTGAGGGTTGGGAGGTGGTGGAAGGGCAGCACAGATCGGGCTGAAGGTGCAGCATCAGCTGCAGGGACATGTGCAGCCACTGCTCACATATGGGTGCAGGGGAGTGTGTTATAGGGTTTAGGGGTTACAGCTGTGAGAGGTTAAGGGTTGGACTTGATGATCTTAGAGGTTTCTTCTAACCTTGATGATTCTTTGTAAACAGAGAAGGTACAGTGGGATGGTAACGTGGGGCTGCCCAGGGTGGTTTTGGGTGTGAGGAGAGCACATAGGTGACCCTGGAAAGGTTATTTGGCTTTGCATGACCATGATCACAGAATCAGCAGGTGGAGGAAACCTCTGAGATCATCGAGTCCAACCATTAACCTGTCACTGCTGTAACTCCTAAACCTAAAAGCTGGCCGGAAGCTGTAGGAAAGCAGTTTGGATCTGCTCCTGGCTAACCCAGCAACCTCCTCTTGCCTTCCAGCTCCTCCTGAACTGCTGCAGGCACTGCTCCTCAGGAGTCCTTCCCAATGAGCGGATCAGGAACATCGGGATCTCAGCACACATCGACTCCGGGAAGACGACGCTGACGGAGAGAATACTCTTCTACACGGGCAGGATAGCACAGATGCACGAGGTCAGAACACAGCTGTGTGTCCCAGAATGGTGTTGTGGGACTTGTTTACCTCTATGGAAAAGTGCATTGAGCTCTTCTAGCCAAGCTGAAAGAGGAATCCTAAAATTCTGCTTGTTTCCCTGAGACTGCTTTAAAAAGAAGTGAAAGGCAAAGGGGTGGAATCCTAGAATCATTGAGGGTGGAAAAGACCTCCAGGATCATCAAGTCCAACCTGTGACCCATCACCACCCTGGCAACTAGACCAGAGCACTGAGTGCCACATCCAGTTCCTTGGACACCTGCAGGGATGGTGACTCCACCACCTCCCTGGGCAGCCCATTCCTATGCTTAGTAATCCTTTCTCATGAAGAAATTCCTCCTGATGAATGTAATCCCTCCCTTACTGCAATGTTCTCCCTCTTTCAGAGCACACAACATCCTATTTCAAGCCTTGCCATTACTTTACCTTCTCCATGCTAAATGTACAATGGAAGTTAAATTACTCTTTGGATGTAACCAAAGATGCCTGTGAGAAACAGAACTTAGGGATATAATTCTTAGCTTTAAGTGTTTTTTCTTGTTAAATTCGCAGTGAAACATCACTTCCTGGAGAGGACTGTTAACCTCTTTCAGGAATGATCCTCAGGAGAGCAAAATACATTAAAGCTGCAGATGAAGCAGCAAAATAAATCAAGTTTGTTTGTAGCTCAGGAATTCAAAGCAATTCTGCCAGGTTTGCTTTTCTTCACAAGAGATGATGCTCAGTACCTAAAGCATTACTCCTGCTCATAGAATCATGGAATGGTTTGGATTGGGAGGACCTGAAAGCTCATCTTGTTCCAACCCCCTGCCATGGGCAGGGACACCTTCCGCTAGCCCAGGTTGCTCCAAGCCCCATCCAACCTGGCCTGGAACACTCCCAGGGACGGGGCATGAATTCTTAGTAAACGTCATGGACTAATTCTTTTTCCTTTTCTTTTTCCCCAAAGGTGAAAGGTAAGGATGGCGTTGGAGCTGTGATGGATTCAATGGAGCTGGAGAGGCAGCGTGGCATCACCATCCAGTCTGCAGCAACTTACACCATGTGGAAAGACACCAACATCAACATCATTGACACACCAGGTAAAGGCAGCTCTGAACACCTTGGGATTGCTGGTCCTTCATGGATACAGAGGACATGGTGCATCTTTGTGTTCCTTGTCAGGATAGGGCAAGGAGTGATGGATTGGCACTGACAGAGGGAAGTTTAGGTGGGATATTGGGAAGGAATTGTTCCCTGTGAGAGTGCTGAGGCACTGGCACAGGTTGCCTAGAGAAGCTGTGGCTGCTCCATCCCTGGGAGTGTTCCAGGCCAGGTTGGATGGGGCTTGGAGCAACCTGGGCTAGTGGAAGGTGTCCCTGCCCATGGCAGGGGGTGGAATGGGATGAGCTTTAAGATCCCTCCAACCCAAACCAGTCTGAGATTCTGTGATCAGTCACTGGAACTGATGTGACTGTGCCTGGCTGGAGTCTGACTCTGTTGGCTCTTGCTCCTTTCTGCCTGCATTTATGATGATAGGGTGACTTTTATTTGTTCTCCAGGCCATGTGGACTTCACAATTGAGGTGGAGAGATCCCTGAGAGTCCTGGATGGAGCCATCCTGGTCCTGTGTGCTGTGGGAGGAGTTCAGTGCCAAACCATCACGGTGAACAGGCAGATGAAGCGTTACAGTGTGCCCTTCCTGACCTTCATCAACAAGCTGGACAGAATGGGCTCCAACCCAGCCAGGGCAGTGCAGCAGCTCAGGTATTTACCATTTAAGTGGTCTGTGAAAGAATTCTGGACTTTGACATAGCAGGTTAATGCTTGGAATGCTGGAGAGGGTCCTCTTATGCCGTCTGTAGTGCAGCTTGGAGGAGAACACCTGAGTTGAGGTTCAAAAGTCTCTATTTTCTCCAAAACCCCAAATATTAGTACCAGCCAAGACTTGCAGTGATCAGAGTTGAGGGTTTGATATTTATCCTGTTGATAGAACCATTTTTGGAGCCACTTTGAAATCAGGCTTTTGATTTTCCTGAGATCCTGGCAGCACATGAGCTGCTGAAATTCCAGCAGGGAGGTGACAAGGGGTGGTTGGGATACCTAAAGTCCTACTTGGATACCTGCAGCCTTTCCATGCCTGATTTGATCCATGAGATACACATTCATAGTCATTAAGGGAGAAACAACTCCCATAATCAAGTAATCAGTTTCCCCTGCCTCCTTTTAATCAAGTAATCAATTCCAGATCACTTTCCCTTGCCCTTTTCCCCTGAGAACTGCTCCCTGTGCCTGTTGGGATGCAGAGGGTTGGCAACCACTCCTGGTTTTCATCAGTATTGCTGAATTTTTGTCTCTGTCCAAAGGACTAAACAGAATGATTCTGTGGCAGTGAGATGTTGTTCAAGGACTACCTGGAGCACAAACATAGAAACTACTTTTTCCTTGTGCTAATGTCTCTTCTCTCCTCTTTTCAGATCCAAGTTGAAGCACAATGCAGCATTTGTTCAGATTCCAATTGGGCTGGAGGGGAACTTTAAAGGAATTATAGACCTCATTGAAGAAAAAGCAATATATTTTGATGGGGCACTTGGGTAAGTGGTGAAACTTGATTCTTCTTTGCCTGGAACTGATCATTGCCTGAGGAACTTCTATAGTTTCTCTTCAGAGATAAAATCCTGCTCTCTGGGAATTTTGGGATGTGGCTTGAGTAGGGCTGAGGATCTAGGGCAGCTCTCCCAGCCCCCTGGGTTGGGACAACAGGCAAGGCCTGATGATGGGTGGCTGCAGCAGGAGTTGGGTGCCACCTGCAGTGGTGGGGAGGGCTGGTGGCCACACTTCCCACCCTGGGAAACAGGAGACTTGCTCCATAATGGGATCTGACACTGCATGTGTGGCCTGCTGGGATGAAGATAAGCTGTGGGTGAGGCTGTTGAACAGCTTGTCCTGCATCCTTGCCAACTCCTGCTAGGAGTGGGAAGGAACCTTCTCCTGCTACAAATTGATAAGGTGATTCTTTCCCCAGTATCCATGTCAGCAGTGAACTTTTCTCACTCAGGCTGGTCAGCACAGTGATGGGAAGGCTGATCCAGGTGGTTTATTCCTTGTGGGTGACTGTTGTCCCTGTGTGTGTAGGCAGAGCCTTCGGTTCGAGGAGATCCCAGCCGAGCTCAGAGCTGAGGCTGCAGACAGACGTCGGGAGCTGATCGAGTGTGTTTTCCCCAGTATCCATGTCAGCAGTGAACTTTTCTCACTCAGGCTGGTCAGCACAGTGATGGGAAGGCTGATCCAGGTGGTTTATTCCTTGTGGGTGACTGTTGTCCCTGTGTGTGTAGGCAGAGCCTTCGGTTCGAGGAGATCCCAGCCGAGCTCAGAGCTGAGGCTGCAGACAGACGTCGGGAGCTGATCGAGTGTGTGGCCAACTCAGATGATCAACTTGGGGAGATGTTCTTGGAGGAGAAGATTCCTACAGCTGCTGAGTTAAAGGTAACTTCACTGAGGTTCTTCCTCGAGCATTTGTGTCCCTCTCTCCTCTCCCTTCCCATCCCCATTCCTTAAATGCTTCACAAAGAAGCTTTGTTTGCTGGACTTATGTCGCCTCCTCTTCTGGACTCCTCTCCCTATGGAGAGCCCATTCCCAATTGGCTTTTTGATTTCCATTGGAAACTCCGAGCTTGCCTGTGTCCTTTGGGGACCAGCAGATGGCTCAGGCTCACTCTTTGTCACTGCTGCCTTGCCATGGTGCAGCTTGATGGCTTTGGATTGCTTCCTATCCCACAGCAAGTCACCTGCTGAGACACTGGGAATTGTCTTTGTGCCCAGGAAATTCTTGTTTGCATTTGCACCGGAGACATCCAGCTGGGGTGGAAAGAGCAGGGGGCTGGGAGGGAAGTGGAATGGGAGATGGGTCAAAAGATGGTTTTCAAAAAGGGAGAGAATTGAATTGCTTGAAAGAGGAGAAAAAGGTGACACATGGTTAATTTTATGGAATATATCATAGAATTTTAGGGGTTGGGATGGACCTTAGAGATCATCCAGTCCCAACCTCCTGCCCTGGGCAGAGACATCTCCCACCAGCACACGTTGCTCAAGGCTTTAGCCAACCTGGAATGAACACTGCCAGGGTTGGGGCTCAGAGCCCTTCAGTGAGCTCAGGTGCTCCCAGGGGGAGTGAATTGCACCTTTTGCCAACAAAGGTGGCTGTAGGCTGAGAGTTGTTTGTTCTTGTGATGTCAGTGATTCTTCAGTGATACAATAAAAGGGGTAGGAGGCCTGGGAAGATGAGCTATATGGAAGTCCTGCCACTGCTTGCTCCAGGATGAGCTCCATGGAGGCTGCACAGCACTCACATATATCCCTTGTTTTGGACCAGCTCCATGGACAGCAGGCCCTTCCCTAGGGATCCTGACTGACCAGTGGTACCTCTGGAATTCCCCTGGGATTAGCTGTGGTCTGGACAGGTGCAGAGGCTCAGTTGTCACACAGCCCCTGTGCCCCACGTGGCCCTGAGTGTTGGTGTCACCGTAGGACATGGACCTCGGAGCAGAGTGCTGAGCCCTCTGCACCCACCCCATAGCCCCACGTGGGTGTGTAACCCAAGACAAGTGGCTAAATGGGATTCAGTAGAACAGGGAGAGTCCGTTGGAGCAGGAAAAGCCTCACAGGCAGAGTGTTATTCCAGAGGGAGCTGGAACAGCTTGTCTGGGAGCAGTGGGAGTCTTCATGGGGCTTGAAACTTGCCTGACATGGCACTAGCCACCTCCTGTTGGTTTCCTGGGAGTTGCCCACCCTGCAGTAGGATACAGAGGACAGGCAAACCCCCAGAGCTGATTGAAAGTCCCCTCTTGACATATGTATGTCTTATCAAGGGTGACAGGAGACACTTTGGGTTGGCGTGAGGCCTCAGTGAGCACAGGGAGATGGCAACCTCTGGAATCTCAGACTAGTTTGGGTTGGAAGGACCTTAAAGCTCATCCAGTCCCACCCCTGCCATGGGCAGGGACATCTTCCACTAGCCCAAGTTGCACCAAGCCCCATCCAACCTGGCCTGGAACACTCCCAGGGATGGGGATGGGCTTACCGTGCAGTTCTTTGTCTGACTCAGTTTGTCAGGATGCCCTGGATATACTCCCAAGAGAGTTGGTGAATCTATACGTTCTTCTGTTGTGCTTTGTGCACCAAACCTGCTGATTCACTGAGCAGGGCACTTAGCCAAGTGTCCCTTCCCTGCCCAACTTCCTTTTTCAGATTTGTTTTCCATAGATTATAAAGGTATTGAAGGATCTCATCTTATTCTCCTTAATTGGAGCATGGATTGTTTCCCAACAGAACTAAATAGGAGGAATGAGACACCTCAAACAGAATGGGTGAATCCTGACTTTACCACCAGAGAATCCACAAACATTTTCTGAGTATTTTGGGTTTATCGTTATATTTATCTTGGACGTTTTCATGTTTAAGTTGAATTTAAGATGGGGGAAAACCCCCTCACACTCCTCTGGGATTCTGGAGAGCAGGTTTTATGGGAAGCCTTTGCTCAGGGAGTTGTACAGGACACTGTGGGAGCAGCTCTTTGCTCCAGGGTTGGAGATGACCAGCAAAGAGAGAGAATCTGAGCTGCTGATGGCTGGAGCTGCCTCAGGCTTCTGCAGTGCAGGAGGAGAGTTATACACTATTTTCCAGCTTGCCATCAGAAGAGCAACACTGAAGAAGTCCTTCACCCCAGTCCTGGTGGGAAGTGCTTTGAAGAACAAGGGGGTGCAGCCACTGCTGGATGCTGTCCTGGAATACCTTCCCAATCCTTCTGAGGTGGAGAACTATGCTCTTCTTAACCAGGGGTGAGTATATCTGTGAGCAAGGAGTGTCCAAGGCCAGGTTGGAGTAACCTGGGCTAGTGGAAGGTATTGCTGCCCATGGCAGGGAGTTGGAACTAGAAGGTCTTTGAGGTCCTTCCAACCCAAACGATTCCAGGATTCTATGGAAAAGCATTTCAAAGCAGTGTAATATGTAGCAGGAAATATCACTACCAAGATACACAACCATCCTGGCCTGTAGGGGAGACATATCTGAAACAGTATTTTATTCTTTGGACATGATTCAAAGAGTCATTGAGGTTGGAAAAGACCTCCAAGATCACAAAGTCCAACCTGTGACCCATCACCATCTTGTCAACTAGACCAAAGCACTGAGTGCCATGTTCAGTCGTTCCTTGAACAGCTCCAGGGATGGTGACTCCACCACCTCCAAGGGCAGCACATTCCAGTGTTTAACAACCCTTTCCATGAAGAATTCCTCCTGATAGCCAACCTGAACCTCCCCTGGCACAGACAGAGGCCATTCCCTCTTGTCCTGTTGCTTGTTCCCTGAGGCTAACAATGAAGTGAGACACCCAAATTAGAGCCAGTAAATGCTTAGAGGAGATTTCTGTGTTTGCTCCATAACCTCACCCCCCTCTCCATCTCTGTTTTTAAGGGATTCTGAGGACCAAAGCAAGTTCCTGTTGCACTCTGCCCGTGATGATTCCCATCCTTTCATCGGCCTTGCCTTCAAGCTGGAGGTAAGTCCCACTGTGTTCCCTCCTGAGGAGTTCCAGAGTGACTCCAAACACATAGTGCTACCAAAACTTAAGCAGAGCAAACATTAAACTCAGTTTATATTTAATCCCAACTTCAACTGAACTTTTTAATGGTTTCCACCATAAACCTCACAAATGGGCCAAACATGGAGTTGTCAAATGGGGTTTGTGCCTCAAATATTCTGTGATTTTCTGAGTTAAAACTTAAATATTTTGGGGGGGTTATGGGTTTATTTCAAATGCTTGGAGGGACAAATCCTGGGGTTGAAAACAGTGGAATATGAGAGAGTAAGAGAGGGAAAAGTGCAGAGTTCTAAGCAAAGATGTTTGGTGCCTAGAGAGCAACACTTCAGGTTTCATAGGGAAAGTGGTTGGCCAAATTCCCCACCAATCGAGAAGTATTTGGGAAGGTTTGGGGGTGATAAAACTAGTTGAGAAGATTGGCAGGAGACGCCAAATTCCATCTCAGAGCCAAGGGAAAGCTGAGGCTGTTAGACATGTTTCATTTACATGTCCCAGTGTGTAAATCCAAACCAGAAACACTTGGTGAGTGCAAACGATGTTTTGAATAGATCTTCACTCCCAGAATGATCCTGCCTGATCTCTAATGGATTTTGCTTCCAGGCGGGCAGGTTTGGGCAGCTAACCTACGTGAGAGTTTATCAGGGGATGCTGAAGAAGTCAGATTATATCTATAACACCAGGACTGGGAAGAGAGTGCGAGTGCAAAGGCTCGTGAGGATGCACTCGGACAACATGGAGGTGAGTGGATCCACCTGGTTTGCCCCTGAGCCACTGCCTGAGGTTATACCTGGGTAAGGACTGCCTGGAGCACAAGATGTTGTTTGCTTCACATCCTTGAACTAGGACACATCGGCATCCAAGCTGAGCTCTCCCTTTTGTCCTTTGAATGAAGAGAGAGATTTACAGAGCATTTTATCAAAGCTGGAATTTTTATAGGAGCTTAATGTCAAGCTTTAAAACACATATTTATGTATCTTCCATAAACCAGGTGGAGTTTGTAAGATATAGGATCAATCCCAGACTGGTTTGGGTTGAAAGGACCTTAAAATTCATCTAGTTCCCCCCCCTGCCATGGGCAGGGACACCTCCCACTAGCCCAGGTTTCTCCAAGCCCCACCAGCCTGGCCTGGAACACTCCCAGGGATGGAACAGCCACAACATCTCTTACCTTTCAGTGTTATCTAAACAATAAACTTTCCTTCCCTAAGGATGTAAATGAAGTTTATGCCGGAGACATATGTGCACTGTTTGGGATTGACTGTGCCAGTGGGGACACATTCACTGATAAAACCAGCACTGACATCTCCATGGTGAGTTCACCTGCTCCTGTGTGCCTCAGGCATGGGGATTTACCAGGATCTGGTTGGAAAAGTTGGTAATCATCATCTCTTCTTTTGTGGCCACTGCAGGAATCCATCCATGTCCCTGATCCTGTCATTTCCGTAGCCATGAAGCCTTCCAACAAGGTAGGAACCTTTGGATCAACCTTTGCTGAGTTACCTTCTCTTTGCTGCTTTTATGGTTTTATGCAGGTTAAATGTGGAACCAGAGGCAAAACCAAGCATTGTTTAAAGTGTTTTGTCACTCAGATAACTCAACATGTGGCTGGGTTGGATGGTGTCCCTCAGCCATAGGGAAGCCAGAACCTCAAAGAGCACAAGTGCTCAGCTGGTGAGAGGGAAATGTGAGGCCTTGATGTTGTGTGACTTGTGAGTGTTGAGTTCACCTTGTCTTGTGTCTGTGATTGTGTTCCAGAATGACTTAGACAAGTTCTCCAAAGGCCTAAGTCGCTTCACCAGGGAAGATCCCACGTTCAGGACACACTTTGATGAAGAGAGCAAGGAGACCATTGTCTCTGGGATGGGGGAGCTGCACCTGGAGATCTATGCCCAGGTAACATGGGAAGAACATTCCATTGGCTCTGCTTCTGGCTGCTTTTCCAGCCAGGAATTCTCCTTCCTTTCCTTCCTCCTCTCTCTTCCCTCCAACTGCTTAGAGAAGAGCTTAACTTCTCAGTCCATTTGTGAAGGTTCTTTCTTTCTCCAGTGGTTCCATTGTGAACTATTTAAAGGAAACTTCTGCCTGGAATATTTTGACTTTTTTTAGTTCAAATCCATTAAAAATGTATTAAAAAACTAGACTTTGCTTTAGCAGCCTTTGCTTAGAATTAATAGTAGCAGCACTACTACTACTACTAATCATAGTAATTTCTACAGAAAACCACAATTTCTGTGGTTTAAAATGTATCATTTCCTAATAAGAGCTGATGCAGGAGAAGGGAATAGTTACTTGCAGTGATTTATTAGTTTCTTTGCAGTTGATACCCATGTTTTAACCTAACACAACAGATGTATCTGAATTCTGGACAGAATGAAGAAAAGGCTTTTGTCTGGCAAAACTTACTTTAATAGAATAGTTAATTTATGCTGTGCCTAAAGCTGTAGGTCTTAGTCAAAGACACTGAGTAATTGGCTTTATGTAAACACCAAGAGCCCAAAACTCAACCCAACCACAACCAAAAACTGCTTAACCAAAGCTAATTAATTAATTCCCACTGCATTGCTCCAATGGAACAACTCTTAACTCTTTGTGGTTTTCTTCCTGCAGCGAATGGAGAGGGAATATGGATGTCCCTGCATCATGGGGAAGCCCAAAGTGGCCTTCAGGGAGAACATCTCTGCCCCTGTGCCGTGAGTATCCTCCTGGGAATGACTTCAGTGATTGACTTAGATGCAGAATTTGATCGTGGAGCAGAAAAATTGCCTTTGAGTCATCAGATCAAAGCACAACCCAAGTTCAGTTGCATTTCTTTGTCCCCTGATTGCATCCTCAACCCCAGCACCTTCTCTGCCTTCCCTCCAAATCCTTCTGGAGGATTCTGCTGCAAATCCTTCTGGAGGATTCTTCTAGTAGCACTGGAGCTGCTTCCCTGGTGGGATCAGGTGGTTCCTTCTCCTGAGGTGTGTCTGGGCTGGTGACTGTCCTGGGTCACTGTCACCCCGTGCTGGGGGTGCCACAGCACTGTCATCTGCCAGGGAATGATCTCCTGTGGGTCACACAGAGCCTGTTAGTCTCTAATTACTCTCTAATTAGTCAGGGATTCTTCTTCAGAGCAGACTTAGGAACTAACCCCACTGTAGATGCTCCAACTGAGGTGAGAGTGCAGAGGGGTTGGAAGCAGCAGAGCCCGAACTGGGAGTGAGCTCCCTGGATGGATTATTCCAGGTTTCAGTATCAAGAACTTCTCTTTCAAATTATTCTGTGTTCTTCTTAGGAAAAGAGCAGAAAATTAGGATGGAGAACAGCACACAGTGTAAATACTCCTCTGGGAATGCTTTCTGCTGGGAATTACTGGTACCACCACTGCTGTATTCTAGCATGGAAGCATCCACTGCCCCACCTGGAATGCAGCTGAGCACTCCAGGATGCTGCCAGCTGCCTCTTCCCTTTATCCCTGCCTGGTTTGGCACTGGTATCTCCCCAGAGGAGAAAGCTGGGAAGGATCAGTGTTTTGAGCCTCAGCCATTCCCAGGAAGGGCCAGAAATAGTGGCAAATTGCTGCTGTTGTCTCCTGGAATGCTGGGAGAGGCAGAGACAGAAAGAGGGATGAGGGGGAGAGAGAGAAGAGACAGACAGGGATCATGGCCCTCACCTCACCCTGTTTGCTCCCCAACCTGCAGACATCAGATCTGTGTTCACCCCATCAGTGTGCCTGAGCTGGAGTGTGTAACACAGCTGCCAGTGTTAAAACAACCAAAAAAACAGGATTTTTAGAAATAAAAGGCTTTACCTGGGACACCATTTCATGCAGCAGAACCAGGTAGTCAAATTCAAGATACTCATCAGTTCTTTTCTGGAAAGATAAGGTGAAAAGAGGTGAATTTGGGGCTTGGCCTCAGTTTAAAGGAAGTGAGTCAGTTTTCTTTGGTTATCACAAGATTCTCTGATATATTTCAGCTGAAACTGGCAGGTTGTGATAACAATAAAGCAGATGGAGCTTAGTCACTGTAACAAAGCAAAAAGATCCTGGTTTGTATTTGTGGACTCCATAACAGCCTTGGACAGGCTGAATGTGAAGCTTATAACTGCTAATTCCTTCCTTAAAGAAATATGATATCTCTCAACTTTAGGAACTCATTTGGGAAGGGAACACCTCATTTCTCAAGGTGTCAAGCCAAATAATCCTCAATAATATTGGCAATAGGATAAGATTTGGAACACTGCAGAGGCATAACAGTGGGTGACAGGTTATCAGTGATTCTCTGAGTGACAAAATAACACATTGGCCTTTGGAATATACTCTTTCCATGTGTATTTTTCAGGGAAAAGGAACGAAATTACACAAGAGAGGTGGGAGCGGGGTTAGTTTAATAGGCTCCTGGCTGCCTTGTCTTTAAATTGATCTAGTTTCCTCAGGAGGGGGTTAAAACCTTTGGAATGTTGCTGGCACACAACCCTGCAGCAGCTGTGAACTGCTCTAAGGTGCCATCAGAGGGAGCAACACGGTAACAAATCCTGCTCCCAGCAGCAATTTGTCTTCCCTTCATACTCTGAATTTAGGGAATTCACTGGCTCTCCTGAGTGGCAAAACATTTGGGCTCTGAGGGTCTGAAGTCTTCTCATCTGATGGGTTTTCTTCACACTTTATCCTGGCTCAGATACAAAATTGCCTGGAATTAAAGCTGAGCATCCCTTTAGGAGTTATTTTTAACTCCCAGTACATTTTCTCCAGATGGAACAGAGAAAACTGGGAGAATCTATAGAATTTTGCTCTGATAATAACTTCCCTGGAAGCAAAGTGCTTTATCAGCTGAGCCTGTTCCAGGTGAGGAGTCAAGGAGGCCTGTTGGTAGTGACAGCTAATCAGTTAATTAATTTGAGTAGGTACAATGATATCTGCCAGTTGTTTGGTTTTTTTATTTCATGGAATCCCAGACTGGTTTGGGTTGGGAAGACCTTAAAGCTCATCCAGTCCCACCCCCTACCATGGGCAGGGACACCTTCCACTAGCCCAGGTTGCTCCAAGCCCCATCCCAAGAATGAGATGAAATTTAAGGTCCCTCCGAACCCAAACCAGTGTGGAATTCTGTGACTGATGGTAACTTACCACTTGCTTCACATGTTTAATTTGGGCCAGTTGGAACTTGGTGTTTTCAGTGGAGTTCTGCCATATCACATAGCCTGAGGCAACCCAGGCAAGCAGGTGGATGGGCTCCAGGTCAGGGGGCACATTGCCGTGGCTGTCTGGCAAATAAAACCAATACTGTGAGTTAAACAAGAGTCTTTAACAGAACTTTATCACCTCATAGAGAGTTTGGTGCTAAAGTCACTTCCTCCATGTGTCACAGATCTTCCATAGCATCTTGGAAGAGTTGCTATATCACCACTGTGTTTTCCTCCCACTTCATTGAAGCCTGGAATGGTTTGGGTTGGAAGAGACCTTAAAGATCATCTCATTCCACCCCCTGCCATGGGCAGGGACACCTTCCACCAGCCCAAGTTGCTCCAAGCCCCATCCAACCTGGCCTGGAACACTTCCAGGGTGTTCTCCACTTCTTTCCCTTAACTTATATTCTGTAAGGTTTTCATGGCAGGAGTTGCTCTAAAGGAAGAGCAGAACCTTGTACAGTTGAGGTGTTGGATGTTCTATGCCAAGGAGAGGCACAGAGTGAGCAGGAAGAGGTGACAGTGGCAGGTGGTTTCCCAGAACAGCCCCATACAATCCTGGATTTCAGGAATGAGGAATAAATGTAGTAGTTGTGATTGACAGAACCCCTGAAAGGAGACAGTGAAGCAGCACATGCTCAGAGCAGGTCCTGCCTGCTGTGGATCCTGGACCACCATCAGCTGAGCTCAGGTTTGCTCCTAGCCATGAAGGATGGTCCCAAAACTCCCTTCTCACCCCAACCCCTTGGTTGTACCTGGTATATTCTCTGCCACAAGCTCTTCCTCCAGGCTCTTCATTCGATTGTAGAACACCTTATCCACTTCCTCTGTGCTCTTCAGTTCTCCTTCAAGTGTGAACTGCACATCTGGAGCAATGTTTTTGGTGCCCAGGTGATACAGAACCTCAGCAGTGCAGTTGACAGTAGTGTCCTGTTGCACAGTTAATTATGTGCATTAAGATTTGATTAAACAGATGTATAATGTGATTAATTTGCACTTCTAAAATGCATTTTTGATGGAGTTGCCATTTTTTTCCCCACAGAGATTTGTGATCATTTAAGACAAGGTTAAATCCATGTTTTTTCTGTGAATGTCTAAGGGTGCTATTCTCTCTGCAGTCATGGCAAGGGCAGTGGTTGAGGTGCAGTGTCCCTTGTGCTATTCAGTTGGAGTAGTGGCTTCAAATAATGTCAGTGTGAGACTGAGTGACACTGAAATGTCCTTGTCATCCCTCCAGGATTGCCTTGTGTAGGTAACACATGGTCAAGGCTTTTATGGTGGGTTCCCTGTTGGTATAATTGAGCCTTTTTTGACCTCATTTGCAGGATAGAAAAATCAGGAACATGGTAAAAAGTGTTGGGAACTGGTGTGTGCCCTGCCCTGAGCCAGGAGCAGCATACAGGGAGTTTAGTACACATCAGTGGTGCCAACTTCTGCCCACAGAGTGTGTTGTCACACCAGTCTCAACTCACTTTGTCCAGGATGTCTTCCAGCTCCATTTCCAGGTAGTACTTGTGCCCAACACCTTCAATGTCCTAAACAAGGGAAAACATTTAAGAACATTTATTTTGTCACATGTTGAATGACTTTGCCTTGTGGAAGGATAATGAAATCTCAGACTGGTTTGGGTTGGAAGAGACCTGAAAGCTCATAGAGTTTCACCTTCTGGCATGGGCAGGGACACCTTCCACTAGCCCAGGTTGATCAGAGCCTCATCCAACCTGGCCTGGAACATTTCCAGGGATGGAGCAGCTACAGTTCATTAGGAATTGAATCATGTCATCTTTTTTTTTTTAGTTATAATAACTGAAGGAAACAGGTTGGGTTTGCTGTGACCCTGTTGGGGCAGGTGGGTTTGCTGTACCCTGTGGTGACAGGTTGGGTTTGCTGTGACCCTGTTGGGGCAGGTGGGTTTGCTGTACCCTGTGGTGACAGGTTGGGTTTGCTGTGACCCTGTTGGGGCAGGTTTGCCTGCAAACTCAGACTAGGTGAGCAGCAAGGTCTGTCATGAACTGAGCACTGTGGAGTGAGTCTCCTTGGGAGGTTCCCCAGGGCCTGATGCCACGGTGCTGTGCCATGGGCACGGCGCTGGGTGCGGCTCCTGTCGCGGTGCTGTCATGACAGGTGAGAGCACAGGGTGTGTTTCACAGTCCTGACCTGCCTGGCTGCTCACACAGGGCTCCTTCCTGTGTCCCCCCAAGACTGATGTGGGTGGGCAGAGCTGGTGTTCACCCCTGTGGTGACACAGAATCACAGAGTTGTTAGGGTTGGAAGGGATCTCTTGGAGGTCATCCAGGCCAACTCCCTGCCAAGGCAGGGGCACCTGGAGCAGGTGACACAGGAAAATGTCCAGGTGGGATTGGAATGACTCCAGAGAGGGAGACTCCACACCCTCCCTCGGCACCTGCCCCAGTGCTCTGCCACCCTCTATGGGAAGTTCTTCCTCATGTTGAGGTGGAACTTGTGGTTTAGTTTATGGCCATTGCTCTTTGTTCTGTTGCTGGGCACCACCCTCTGACACCCCTTGGGGATACCTGTATGGATTGATGAGATTTCCTCTCAGTCTTCTCTAGACTGAACAGGCTCAGCTCTCACCACTGCCCAGGTACAGGGCAGAGGCTGAGCCTCTGCTGGAGTGTACCGGTGCTCTGACTCTGGCCTGACTGGGAATGGTCAGCCGGGCTCAAACCTACCCCTGCTTGTGTCCCTGCCCTGCCATCTGCCCCCTGCCCTACCTCTGCCCTGCCATCTGCCCCTGTTCCCTTCCCCTGCCCTACCCCTGTCCTTGCTCCTGTCCCTGCCCCATCCCTGCTCCTACCCCTGCCCTCTCATGCCCCTTTC